TATTTATTTATTTATTTATATTTATATATATATAAATAAATATTTATATATATGTGTATGTATAGGTCAAAATTTCTGATTTTTGAAATGTGAAAGTTGTTTTGTTATTTTTGAAATAGGGTAAAGATAAAATATGATAAATGCATTTTTCCCTTTTTTTTTTTTAAAGATATATGGGTTTGTGTACAAACTGCCCATGCTTTACATGGGGGCCCATATTAATATGTGGGGGTCGCAGCTTCTAACAGCGTGCTATATATTGATGGTTGTTAATGAATAATCAACCACAAATTTACTGCTTTAGCTGTTTAGTGGGCTGGGGCCCATAATTCCACTAAATGCAATGGTGTTCATTTTTTCTCAATCATTCAGCCATGTCAAACTCCATCCTATCAACATCAAATTAGGTTACAAGAGGATACGGAAAAGCTTATATAGCCCTTGTTTGGTATTGATTAAAATATTATTTTAATTGCAAGTGAACGCGGAGATCAAATCTATCAACACTTTTTCGGTCGAGCATGTCTCACCGAACTTGCTTAGTGCGATTTACCTCTTCGGTGTGGTTTGCGAGTTATTGCACATAAAGCGGGGTTTACCTAGTGCGCACTCACATTGAGCGGGCCTCCGTGGACGGGTAGCGGTTGCGGATTCCTACGTCAACAAAAAAAAAAGAAAAAAAAAATTTAATTTAAATAAAAATTAAATAATCAATATTAACAACATATTTCGTTGATCCTATAACTTTTCAACTACACATTCCATCAACTTCTAAGTTTCATCAAACGAGGACATAATTCACTCGTAATACTTATCGAATTTCATAATGATGCGTTGTAAAGTAAACTTGATCTGTTCATTTTAAACGGAAATGATAAAAACATATCTCAAAGTAGAGATAGTGATTGCATTATAAGATCGTTATCAGATGTACTTGATTATAAAGCAAATACTTTTTCCATATTCATATTGTCGGTAGCGTGGTTGGACCAAAATATGTGGAAGAGGTAGGCAAAAAGAGTCAGTGGGGGTCATTTTCATTTTTTTTGTATTTTTTGGGGGCCCTTTTTGAACAGCACAACATCTTTTCTTTAATTTTTATAGTCCAGATTGGACAGAAGAAGGTGACTTTTAGTTTTGGCCGACTCAATTCAATTTTCCATAAAATTAAAGTCAACCGTTAATTTTAATCATAAATTTTA